AAAAAGAAAGCAGAGAGATGAGTCTGAGATTCTTTGATTGAAGAAGCCCTTGTATTTATAGGTAGAAAATACTAATTCAAAAGGAAAGTATAATAATTTATTTATTTAAGGTAATAAAATTATTATTATTATTATTATTATTATTTATTTAATTTAATTTCCATTTGACATTTACTTACCAAATAAATTTTACTACAAAAGTTTTGGGGGGAAAATTTGTTAGGAGGATTTTATTTTTATATATATATAGATATAGATTATCAACCTAAATTGTTAATATTTTGAGACATCAATACTTTTTAACTTGAGAATCGATATCGACTTAATTAATATATGTTATTTATTACGGAGTATTATATTAACATTTATAAAAATGTTGGTCGAGGAAATGGTCTTTTGCATCATGTTATAACAAATTGAAATATAAAATTGATTGATAAGATACTAAAAATAAATAAATAAAAAGGCAACGGTTGGGATTCAAAATGTAGCAGACTTTAATTAGATCTTAAGCCACTTGATATTTCGTCTGACCAAATTAAATATCGATAATTAATGGAGTCAAATGTAAATAAATAAATGAGTTAATACCTAAAATGGTCCCTCGACTATGTCATAATTACCAATTTGGTCCTCAACTACCATTCTTACCCAATTAAGTCCTCAACTATGTAACTTTTACTCAATTAAGTCCTCAACTATACAATTCTTACCCAATTTAGTCCTCAACTATACAATTCTTACCCAATTTAGTCCTCTGTATTAATTTGACTGTTTGTTGACTGTCAAAAGTCGGGATAAAATTATAATTTTACAAGATTTCTCCTTCCTCTCCATTTAGCAGCGCCAAACCATGCAGCAATACACTCCGATCAGATTTCGATCGTCAAAAAATCGTTGAAAATCAAATTCCTGGGCTATCCGTTGCACAACCACTACTTCGATACTGACAGGTTTAGAATCCAACCGGAGCTTATTGCTACATGGTTTAGCGCTGCTAAATGCGGAGGAAGGAGAAAACTTGTAAAATTACAGCTTTATTTCAACTTTTGACAGTCAACAAACAGTTAAATTGACAAAGGACTAAATTGGGTAAAAATTGTATAGTTAAGGACTTAATTGGGTAAGAATGATAGTTGAGGACCAAATTGGTAATTACGACATAGTCGAGGGACTATTTTGGGTATTAACTCTAAATAAATAAATAAGTTGTAATATAATGTGAGGAAACAGCATGCTTAGAGTGTGGAGTAAGGGCACGTGATTAGAGTCTTCAAAGTGATAATTCCCAAGTTCACTTTATACGGACAACGCGGACTTCACGCGAGAAAAAAGCCACTGTGGCCGGAAAATATAAATTAAATTAATTTTATAAATAATTTAAAGTTAAAACCAGTACATGAAAATATTATTTTATTGCTAATCTATATTAAAATAAAAAAGAAAAACTATTTCCACATTGATACATGTTACCAAACATCATCTCTAACTGTAATTAAACATTTTTTCAAAAAAAAAATGTTTAATTAAACATTTAAACGGAGTAGCTTTGACAGGAACAAGTCAAAACGTTATTAAACCATTTTCTCATTCTCTTGATAATATACCCACATACCATGGGGTTAAAAAAATCCCCTTTTTTTTTTAATGGCTACAATTTAACACTATTTATAGTAATTGTTTTACACAATGTCCACTCTTTAATTGGATGAGACTTAAACTTGTGACTTTCTATTTGGAATGGTAATAGTAATGTCATCCAACAATAAGGTGTTTGACTTTTTTTTTTAAAATTTATTGAAACCGTTATTTTTTTGTGATGAGGAAATCCTACAATCACTAACCAAGAGTATGCACGAGTAAATCTCGTTATCGTGTAATTGTTTGTAAATCACACATAAAGAATAAACCGCATTATGAATACCCTAAGTAACGGGATCGACCAAGAGAGTCCTAAAATTAATTGAAAGTATGACATTCTAGTACGAGAATTATGTTTCATCCACTTGTCCACTCATTTTCGGAGTTGAAAACCATTATTTTGTTTATACGAATACATCACAATCAACTATATAAATTTAAGAAAATAATATTATTTGTATTCGCTAACAGTTGAGGACGAATGTCCTGATATTTGAAAGACATGTAACCCAAAGTGATTTGAGATCAAGGACAAAGCCATGTACTATGTGCATAAACATCCTAGTAGTGTAAACCAAATGATAAGATTTAATCCCTTTAATGATTTTAATGTGTTCTAAATGTTTGTTTCAAAATATGAAATAGCAAAGGTGAACTAGTCAATATAGTAGTAAAAACAAGCAGCCCACCATATTAATCACAATTTTATTGTCATTGTTTTTATTGTCAAATTGTTTTAATCACTTTAATGTTATTGTTTTTCTTAACCACTTTAATTGTAAATTTATTTATTTATTTGAGTTTGCTTTTTTGAAAAACTAAAGTTATATCATGCTTGCACGATATTGCCATTTGGATCTTGGAGTACACATAAATCTAGTTAGAACATTATTTGTTGGCTAAGTTTGTCAAACAAGTAAGAATGCACTTATGTACATTATAATGTTTACACGAGTTCACTTTTAAACATATTAACATTAATATTTAATCAAATAATCCATTTCTGTGAATTTTAATTTAATTAGATGAATGTAGATACATAGACCCCAATGTGACATGTATTTTTAAACCAAAAAACGTAATGTATTATTCTGAGATAAAAAGGTGACTAAGTACGTAAAATATTATTATTTTTAATTAAAAAGTAATGTATTTGATTATTGCTAATATATTTTCAGTTGAACCTGTATTAGTTTTTCTAATGCGGTTTATCTTTTCTACATGGTTTGTGGATATGATATTTTTGTGTGGTTTATGAGCTATTATACATGAAATTTTTTTACCAATTGTACTCCTTCGAATAGTAATTGTTAATTTTCTCGTAAAAAAATGTAATGTATTCCTAGTGGTAAGTTGTGTTCAATGTTATAATGTTTATATACTTGACATAATTATATTCAACAAAAATTCATTCTTAAAATGTATATTTAATTACTAAATACTCATATATTTATATATAATTGATCAACCTCGTTATAAATGATACTAGATTCAGTGAATTGCTTATATAATCGAAAAGATCTAATAGTACAGTTAATAGTATAAAATTATAAAAAGTGTAAAATTTGATCACCGATTAATAATTACAGAGTAATTTTTTAGAAATTAAATAATGTAGCTTAACTTTTTCCAATTGATTCTATAAGAATATTCACCTGTTACTAAATACCTACACTTGAATAGAGTAAACATTACAAACTTATATTCTTTATAACTCAACCCTCCACAATAAACATTAGGAAACTTTGAGTTAAAATAAAATTTTATTTCGTGTAATTTAGAACGAACATACTTTTGATATCAAATTAAACTTCAAAGCTATTAAAAAGAGTTACATTAAATTATATTATTAATTAAATTTTATGTGTATAGTAAGTGAAAATAGTCAAGGGATAACAAGTGACAATAACTATTGTCTTCAACATATTATACATATGGTATTATTACTGTGAAATTTTGTCACATGATAAAGTATATAATATAATATGATTCTTATATTCTAATAGAATATATATGAATCAAGAGACAATACACTATAACAACTGAAATGATGGTAGAGTCCTATTATAATTCTTCTATAATTTTTTCTGATCCTAATCCAAATGATATTAAAAAAAAAAAAACGAAAATGATAAATTTGAGATAAGTACCACTAAATAATAATTATAATAGGTCAAATTTGGTTCACATCAAAACAAACGAGTCAAATCTAACCTCACACTCAGACAAATGCGAATCCAAAAATAAATTTCAATATTGTGTACCAAACAAAGCCTAACAAGAAACGACCGTCCCCCCATGTAGTTGTGTCATTCGTCATGCACGAGGCCTCACGTTTCCTGACTCTTCTTTATTTTATTTTATTTATTTGAAAAAAAATATTATGATATAGTTAATTTATAGGTCAATTTTAATTTATTTAACTACTATTAGTTATTTGACTTGGTTTAAAAATTAATGTAAGTGTTTGGTTAATTAGCTTTTTATACTTCAAAATGCTAAAATTTAAAAAGTTACTCAAATCAAAATTTTCAATTAGTTTTTTTGAGAAAATAAATTATACTAAACAACTATCAGCTAACAGCTAATTTACCAAATACCTTTCTACAATCAGCTAATGTTATCAACTAGTTATACCCTCTAATTAATCCAATCAGCTAACAGCTAACATTCATTTATCAAACAAAGCTATATGTACTCTCATTTTCTTCTTTCAAATTTTACTCACACACACAAAAGCTTAACAAGAAACGACCGTTCCATATACTTGGGACCCACATGAAAAAAGTAACTTATCAGTGTCTGTCACATCAAAAATATAATTTAAAAGGTAAAATTTAAAATTTCATGTAGTAGAACTGTTATTTGAGTGACTAAAGAAACCCTCATTCACTAATTATTACTTAAAAGTGTATATTAAGTAAATCTCATTTTATGATGTTAACTAGCAAATGACTATAAAAAATAAATTAATTTAAGTTATTCATAATTGATCGATTCAAATTTAAAAATTAACTTCACTACTAAAACTAACAACTTGATAAACTTAATTAGAGTTATCATGTATTTTATTTATTAATTCTTATTGTTGTTTCCTAAATATATACATTTTTTTTAAAAAAAGCATCGTGCAGCCTATGCTATTGCAAGGCATGCCGTTTTTATGTCAGATTGCGAGGAGTGGATTGCTTGCCCTCCTCCTTTCCTTGTTGATGTTCTTTCTACTGATTTAATGAATTAAGTTGGTTCCTTTCAAAAAAAAAAAAAGCATAATTTAATACGCAATAATTAATAATATATCTGTTGTTTTTGTTAATACAGCAGTTAATACGATCTTAATTACAATTACGCATATACATTTCCCCTTTTCCTCTTTAGTTCTGGGACATCTCTCTTCCTTTTGGGGTGTTTCCTGGTTTTCCCAGAATTTCAAGAGCTGCTTCTCTCTCATGGCCGCCTGACTCTACATCTTTACTCTCTCTCTCCTTCTAAAACTTCTTTTCTACAGCAGAGAGTAATTTTCTCATATTTAGACACAGGGAATTCTTGTGCTTAAACATATCTCTATCAAAATCCGGGGTTTTTAAGAGGTGAGTTGTCTTTTTTGGGTTTAATTTTCATCTGCCCTTTGCGTTTATCTGGAAATTTTCAGTTTAAACTATTTTACGAGGATCTATTTTACAGAAATTGTGTTTTTGCTCATGTCAAGCTTGGATGGGGGTTTAGTCGCTGTATTGAGAAAATATATCGATTTTTTTAAAAATTTTTGTTTTTGGATTAAGAAAGTGAAAATTTGTGGTAAAATTTGCGTGCTTTTAAGGATACTGCCTGAAGATTTAAAGCTTTTGGTGGAGAAGTTGTGATTTTCTGGAAATGATTATATTTTAATCCATAGAGTTCTCATTCTGTTTCGGTTCTGGTCGATTTCTCTGACCTAGAGCTGTTTATATTCTTATTATGAATTTGATTTTGATTTTTTCATGGCCAGTTTTCAGACTGGGACTGTGTTTAGGAATCTTCCAAGTTTTTTTTTTTTTTTTTTTTTAATAAATAGTAAAATTTATTTACTGAAAGTTTTGTTGAATACCCAGGCAGTTGGTCTAAAGCATAGTTTTCTGATTACAGGTAGAAATAAATGTTTCTTCCGATATTAAATATTCCTGGAGAGATATCGGTACTTTCTTATATCATTGATATATGTGAATATGTGCATTTACATATAGATGTATTTTCTTGAAAATCATATAATAAAGTATGTTATACTAAGATGATCTGGGTATCAACATGCATTCTATTTGTCATAATAGCTATTGTATTTTCTTGGTTTAAAGTTTGTGTAATCTGTGTTTGTTTATAGAGAAGGGAAGCTTTTCGAATGGAGAAAATTGAAGAGTCAGGTAGCCCTGGTTGGGGTGCATCATTATACCAGACCACTGAAGATGTTGCAAAAGCTGTTGCTGCTGCTGCAGCTGCTGTTCGGGCCCCCAGGCCTTCTGTGGTATATTCAGCCAAAGATGACACTGGTAGCCCAATGAAGAAACTTCAGAATCAAGTTTCTAAATTGATTAAAGGTTTATCAAGTCCTCCTGAAGCAAAAAGTAGACTTTACAACCCAGAAATATTAACTAGCCAAAAACGCCAATGGGCCAACTTTCAGTTGCAATCTCTGGTATGTTTTCATCTTTTCCTTAGAAATTATATTTTTCAATTTTAGGCATAGGCCTAAAAAGGGATTTCAAGTATTTTTCAATCATGCTCTCTTGTAAATGTAGTACAACTATGAACTACCATTCATTTGTTATGCTCAAGTAATACGGAACACTTGTTTGAGTAATATTTGGAACTGTAAATTGGATTAGATGAAATTCTACTCAAGATCATTTGCTATCTTGAGAGTGCATGGCCTAGGTCATATGTCTGCCTTTCTCAGTTTTGTAAAGTAGATAAATGTGATTGAATAAATCCAAGTTGAAGCATCTTGTTGTGCCATTATTGATTATCCTTGCTTATATACTGATGCCTTCAGCATATGGATGAAGCTTTTGGTTATATTAGGTAATTATCTTACTTAAGTCTGCAGGATCACAGAGTTTGGAAAGAACCATCAAGGCTTTTTGAAAGCATGGTAGTTGTTGGACTTCATCCTAATTGTGATATTCACGCACTTCAAAGCCTTTACTTTTCAAGAAAGTCTGAAGGTTCAGGAAGATTTAGAAGTGCTCTCAGTGGTCAGCATCATTCACGTGTGGAACCCAACCTTGAGCCTCAGGTGCTTTTCCTGAATAATTTTGTGTTCTTTTGTTTGCTTGTATGTATGTATGTATGTTTTTTTTTTTTTTTTTGAAACAGCTTGTATGTTTGTTTGTTTATTTGTTTCTTTGAATCTGGAAGTTTGATGGCTATGTATTTGGAATGTCATCTTTGCTTTGACTTTCAGGTCTTGTTTGTATACCCTCCAGAAAAACAACTTCCATTGAAGTACAAGGATCTTCTTTCATTCTGTTTCCCAGCTGGAGTAGAGGTTTTACTATATCAATGGCTATTTTTTCCCTACTTCCATTTCACTGTTTCCCTGATTCATACGAATTAGATCTTCTATTCCAGAAACTCTAGAAAATTTAAGATCCAAGAGTGGATCTGTCTTTTGTGATTACTGCATTCTAATAGATAGTGTGCTCTTTCAGGTTCATGCTGTTGAAAGAACTCCTTCAATGAGTGAGTTAAATGAAATACTTTTAGGGCAGGTACTGGTTCTATGAAAAGCTAACACTACACTTTCATTTATTTGCTGATGTGAAGAAAACTGATGTACTTTCTCATACTAATTGATCAATTTAACTCAAACAGAACAATTTTCACGGTTGATCTTATGAATTCTAAGCCTGGAAATTGTATGTCTTAAGATTATACTAATTTTGCAGGAACACCTGAAACAAAGTGATCAGTCATTTGTATTTAGGCTGCAGGTATCATACTGCTTCCATTTATGTACTAAATATTTCATATGTACTTGATTCGAATTTTGTTGGGTTTACTTCCTTAGGGTAGTTCATGATCTATTTCTCTTACTTGTCAGCTTGGAGTTTTGTTCTCTATCTGGTGCAAACTGACAAATTTTCCTTCTTAGGTTGCTGATAATTCAACTCTTTATGGTTGCTGCGTATTAGTTGAAGAAATTGTTCAAAAACCCTCTGGATTGATTTCAATGATGTCAGAAGGCCAGCCGTCTCACAATGGCTTGAGTCGCCATATTTTGACTACACGCCGTTGTTATTGTATTCTTTCCAGGCTTCCATATTTTGAACTCCATTTTGGTGTACTGAATAGGTATATTGATATTCAATCTGATTTATCATTATGTCTATAGCATTCTGTTGGTTCAATTCCATAAATTAAGACAGCAATTATGGAGTATAATTTGGTGATGGACTGTGGAACGATAAACCTTTACATTCCTCTAGCTTAGGCCTGGACTAGGAGGTATAGTTTGTGGTAGCACCACAAACCCACTGCTTCTTATGCCTTTCGTTCACATTCTTTGGCTGCTATGGTGTTTTATATGAAATTAATTCTCTTTGTCCTTATAGGGTTTGGTTTACTGCATAGGTATATTTATAATCAAACTGATTCATCATTATGTCGATAGTGTTCTGTTGGCTGAATCTGAAAATTAAGACATAACAATCATTTATGATATTTTTATATGAATTTGGATTTTGGACTTTGACACAATAATCCTTTACATTTCTAGCTTAGGCCTGAATGCCTGATCATAATTTATGAATTTGGGATCAAGGCTTGCAAAAGATGTAGGCACTAATTTTGTTATCCAAGGGGTGTAATTTGTGGTAGCTCAACCCCACAGTTTCTTACACCATGTTTTCATGGACTGAGTTGTATTTCTTTTGCTGCTATGGTGTTTTGTATGGAAGTTAATTTATTTTGCCCTTATAGGTTAAACCAATCGGATAGTTCTACATAAAAGTAAGTTAGCTAGTAGTTCTTCAATTCTTAGCTCCTCTATTAATACCATCTTTTCACCTTTTACTTCCTATTGTAGCATCTTCATTGAGGAGAGGTTGGAGCGGTTAACAAAACAAATTGGTGATCTTGATATCAATCCTTCCACACTTTTTGATAAAGACGATTTTGAAGAAAAATCTTCTATCACTTCATTGGACGATAGGGAACACAACCTGTTGGATGGAACTCCTTACAATTCTCAGTTAAGCACATGCGAATCTGTTACCGTGATAAACATCAATGAGAGATCTCATGCGGAACATGAAAGTTTAGAAGGGTGCATCTCCTCTTCAAAGGGAACTAGTTGTGATAATGCTGTTCCAGTTGACGGTGACATACAGAAGCATCACGAGACTGAAGTTGACATATACCCTTCAGAGGAAGCTAGCAGTGGTGACATAGAGAAACAGCATGAGATTAAAGGGGATGCCTCATCTTCAAAGGAAGCTAGCAGCAGTGACTTAGAGAAACAGCATGAGACTGAAGGGGATGTCTACTCTTTAAAGGAAGCTAGCTGCGGTGACACACAGAAACAGCATGAGACTAAAGGAGATGTATCCTCTTCAAAGGAAGCTAGCGACAGTAATGATGTTCCAATTGATGGTGACATAGAGAAGCATCATGATAGTAAGGGAGATGTAATTGGATCAGAAAGACTTGATTCTGATACTTGTGAAGATGATAACAAACATTTGGTTGAGAGGAGTCTGCCAAATGCTGTTTTGCCACTTTTACGATATCAACAATATGAGAGCTCAGACTCTTCATATAGGTATTATATCTCCATATTTCACTTCAAAGGTTCTGCTTTTAGCTTTGTTCATGAACTTGTAAGCTATTATGCTTAGACACTCCAGTGAGAAATAACTGTTAATTTGTTTACTCCTGTCAAAAAGCTTATGGACTTGAAAATTGAGGGGTGGAAGAAAACATATTGTAATAAAATATAACGGGTCAATTTGCAAAGTCACATAAAGTGAAATAATGAGTTTTCTTTGCTTTTGCCTAGAAATAGCCAAGCCTTTCCTCATGATATATTGATATCTAATATCTTAAACAGTTTTTAGTACAGTTCTACTGATTCCATGAGTCCACAAGTTTTATATAGTTCCAGTGTGCCACTGTTCTCTTTTCACAGCCAAACCTTTCTAAAGACTGATATACTGTTTACATTGCTCCTTAGCAGTTTCCAGGGCTCTCCTAGTGAAGATAGGCATTTCAGGAGTGACATTGATGAAGCAGAGACAGAAGTATCTTTTTCAGGCCGAGATGAATCCAGTCAAAATAGTGATATACTTGAATGGGCCAAGGTTGACCTCTCTCTCAATTTATCAGATATGGAGTAAACTTCATGATTCAGCTTTTAATTACATGAGCTATTGAATTCTTACTCCCCTTTCTAACATTCGTATTGCAGGACAGTAACCATGGCTCCTTGCAAATAATATGTGAGTACTACAAGCTACAGCTCCCAGCAAGTGGTTCAACAATTAAGTTTCACCCTCTGGATCACTTACATCCTTTAGAATACCATAGACCTGATGAAACAGTTTTACATGTTGCTGGATCTACTATTGACTTAAAATCATGCAGCACAAGTTTGGAACTGGCAGAGGTATATTTACAAATTTGGGTGATTGCCACGTCTAACCAACTTTCTTTCTGTTTAAGAGTTAAGACAAAATGGAATGTGGTTGGGGGCTTGGGGCTTTTTTGTATGGATTTTTGTGGTTCGCCTTCTTTGGCTGCACAACCCAAATAGTTTAGTTTGTGACTTGTTCCCATGGGAGTTATTAAATTGAATGTGTTATTGTAGGTTCACAATGCTCTCATGGTGGAAGAGGAGGCGAATGCTTTGTCTGTCTGGGCCATTGCATGTTTATGTGGTTCCTTGCGTCTGGAGCATGTACGTATATAATAGTCTAGAAGTAAATTTAGAACTTTGTGCATACAGGAAGATTTTATATTTTGATTTCTTGTAAGGTGTTCCAATGCTGTTGTTATCTTTAGTTAATAATGCTCTAATTAGTAGAAATATTCATATTAATTTATTTGATCTGGTCTATGATAAAGCAACTCAAAATTGAACTCCAGATTGTGTTTTGCAGTGGATATGAGCAATTAGTGTAAATTCTGATCTTTTCTTCATACTTTCATGCTACAGGTCTTAACTTTGTTCGCAGGGGCTCTCTTGGAGAAGCAAGTTGTAGTAGTTTGTTCGAATTTGGTAGGCATCCTTACACTGCCTTTTAATCAGATGAATCCTACAGTTGGAGAAGTTCCTTTTTTATTTTAAATGCCTTCGTGTATTTGTGGAAAGCCATTTCATGATTTTCATCTATTATGTAATCCTTTCAAAATCCATTGTGTGTTATTCACATTCTCTTCTACTTTAACGGGAAATGTAGGGCATATTATCTGCTTGCATTATGGCCATTATTCCACTGATTCGTCCCTACCAGTGGCAGAGCTTGTTAATGCCGGTAATTTCTCTTGTGCCCCCTCTATTCAATGAAAGTACATCCCTTCAGTCATTTGTTTACGACCTTTCCTGGGTAACTTAATCGTGTTGACACTTGAAAATCCAGGTTTTGCCAAATGATATGTTGGACTTTTTGGATGCACCTGTTCCCTATATTGTAAGTGTCTAAATTGATTACTATTCTATTGTATTCTACATTTGTTCTTTTCCCTTTTGTTTTTTAATATCTTTTATATTTTTTATTTGAGTAGGTAGGCGTAAAGAACAAAAACTCTGAATTGCAGTCGAAGTTAACAAATGTTGTTCTTGTAGATGTGAACAAGAATCAGGTATGTTTGGTTTCTTCCACACCCTTACTCCAAATTAAAGAGTAGTTTTAAAAAGTATTCTGTCTTCTTTTTTTTTTTTTTTGGGGTCATCTCTAAATTGTCTACCGAAGTTTTACGATATGTTCTGTTGCTTCATTTCCTTTGTTATGAAACAAGAAGTATTTACCTTCCTGCTTAGGTTTGTATCGTAAACATTGGAAGTTTCATATCGTGCTTTGGTATGAATTATCTTTTTAGTTTGCTCGCAGTATTCTCTTTAAACTAGATATGTATAATTTTTTGTTGGATTGAATATCAGATGAAGTCGCATTCAATACCACAATTACCCCAACAAAAGGAACTATACGCATCCTTAATTTCGTACCATGGAAAACTTGTGGGAGAGAGTTTCTTGGGAAAGAAAAGGCCAGTTTATGAGTGTACTGATGTGCAGGTATTCTCTCCTATCCTTTCTACCCAAATCATGAACGCCACCGCCCCCATTTTTTTTTTCAAAAGGCTGTTAACTTTTCTGTTTCGGTTGGCATTTCCACCTTGGATTGCCATTGTATAACGAGTAGGCTGAAGCTGCTAAGGGTTTCCTAAGAGTGCTGCGGTCTTACCTGGATTCACTTTGTTCTAGTCTTCGCTGTCACACAATTACCAATGTTCAATCAAATAATGATAAGGTTCGCACTTTATCCTTTATTCTACTGTGCTTAGTTTTTTAACTACGAAAATGGGCCAATTGGATATATACATTTACTTTTCAATTAAAAAACCGAACAGGGAGATAACAATAAAGTATGTGTGTGAATTTGATCATGGACATGGCTACTTGTATGTGACGGAAATTACCTTCACATCATTAGTTTGTAGATTTGCAGTCTCCTGGTTATCTAAATATTTCCTCTATTAGGTATCATTGCTCTTGAAGGACAGTTTCATCGAATCTTTCCCCTATCGAGATCGACCTTTTATGAAGGTATGTTTCTAATGCTCAGTGTTATATATTTAACGGTTCTTTTTCTGTCTTGTGAACTAAGATCATGGACCATTCGATTCATATTTGACTTTGTTTCCCGGGATATGTATATAATAATGTCACTGAACTCTTGAAAAAATCAAGAAATGCTTTGATCTGAACATCATGAATCAATCGCTAATGTATTTCTCTTTCTTTGTATGGCGTGAAACAGCTCTTCGTGGACACACAACTCTTCTCCGTACATACAGATTTTGTACTTTCTTTCTTCCAAAAAGAATAGGGCGATGTACAAGGTTGTTTGGCAGTGTGACAGTGGAACGCAAGTTCTATTGCAATCTGTATTATCATTATATGATTAGTATTAGTATTATTCTTAACATAAAATTTTTGTTTAATCATATGTCATAGAATGTCACCTTTCTCCTTGCTCTGTTACAAATATTGCATGCATTTTTCCAATGTTGTCCACAAATGTGAGGTCAATTTGGGAAATTTTGCTTGGGATTATAAGTAGCTAATGCTTCCCACGATCATATGGCATCACTGAAAGAATCGCATTAGTTGTTGATAGATCATTTGATGAACCAATAACGATGAGGAGATGGACCCTAATCCTAGACATCCTTTGAGTGAGTTATTTGAAGTCTAATAGGGCAAATTATTATGTGAAAGTACAATTTTTAATATGTTAAAAGTATATTATTTATGTATTGAATGTACATTATACAAAATAATGTATTTTTAATATTCAAATTAGTGCATAAAATTAATTCTGCCGAAACAACATTGTAAATACTCTAATGATGATATGAAAATAGAGGTTATTGTTATTTGTCCTCTACTGATCTTTCGTTAATGTAGTTTGTGAGTCAGTATTCTTCAGCATTATATTGTTGTCATTCTATATCTCCATTCCTAACTCAACTATCATCTATAATAAATATACTTATCTCAGTATCAGTGTTGTAAAAATCCTGCCTAGCCACTGATTAATTGGTGTCTAGGTTTTTGGCATTGACTGACCGTCGCCTAGCGTATCACCATAATCGGTGATCTAGGCTAGGCGGTTGGCTGGCTAGGTGGTCGATTAGGCTGACTATGTCACCTAGTCGGTTGATTAGTTATTGTTTCCATATTTTTTAAATGAGTTATTTCATTTAAAATGATATCCTTTTGAAAAAAATAATCCGAAATTGTTCAAAGACATTTTTTAAATTAATAATTAATATTTTAAAAATAAAAGATATACCGGCACCGATTAATCCCGACTTAGTACGGACTCTATTACAATATAGTATTAAAGCACAAAAAGCTAATATTATCTTCACTGAAGCTCAATCCCACGAACTTCCTAACTCAACTAGAGTCTCTATTTATATTCCGAATATTTTGAAAACAGTGACGTGACTCGGTAACGTGCGAAAGAATCATAAAAACGTCCTCAAAACCCTAACCAATAGCCGCTTCTCAGTATTCCTTTTCTCGCGCCACTACCCTCTCCCTTCACCCCCGTCGTTTTGTTTTCATACTCAGGTGCTTTCATCATTTACAATTTTGCACTGTTCATGCATACATTCTCATTTATATTCACATAGATTCTCAGTCTTACGTTAAAACACTCGACATTGATCGAGTAATAGCGGTAGAACTCATATAGAATGTATATAAAGTTTTCATCTTTTAATTTAATTTAATTTTTTTCTAACAGGAATACCTTGATTTGAGTTTGATGGATCCAGAGTCCTTGGCAGCCGCCAACGCTTCTGCGAATACAGGCACTAGGAAGGCATAAACTTTCATACCCTTACGTGCTCATAAAATCAAATTTGATTATAAGCACTGTTATATGATGATATGATTCTGAACATTCATTATTTAGTTTCGAATTTATTTGATTTGATTATATGCATTCTTATACTATCTGTCATTCGTTAGAGGATCAAATTTGATTCATCTTGAATATCCTTTATTACTTGTTATGTGTGTGTGTGTGCATTCTTATATGATACTGAACAATTGGATTTTAAGTGGTGTAGGTTAGATTTGCTCCGAAAGGTCCTCCTCGCAGAGCCCAGAAGCCTGCTTTGCCCAAAGCGTAATCAGTCTTATGCTTTGCCCAATTGGATTTTTTTTAACTGTTTGGATTTAAGGATGTTAAATTTGATTAATTGTTTTGCAGGGAAAAGGTTGAAGAGGATGCTGATGCCACAAAAGCGGAGGAATTGTTGCGCCGTTTCAATGTATTTACACTTCCAGTTTCTTAATGATTCCCGTTTGTTTTTATTCCAATGTTTAGATTAAATCCTGTATCCTCTGTATCATTGAAGAAATTGCTTTTGGTTCTAGGAATCTTCTGCTATGAGAGCTAAGTTTAAAGTTGAGAAGAAAGGTTAGTTGTCTTTGAGATTGTCTAGTTTAAGCTCAGGAGATTTAAGGATTGATCCCGTGTGTGTGTTTATCTGTATTGGTAGATTAAGGTTGCTGTTTCTGGTTTTTGCTGTGGATGTAGGGCCTACACGGGTTGCGTTTGGTCAGGGAGGTTCCTCAAGGTCATATATCCCTCCAAAGGGCGCTAAGAAGCCTCAGAGCTCATCCTCTGATGGCAAGTGGCTTTTCTATCTATTAATTTCGTTCGTAAGTTTGAATGGATTTTGTTAAGTGGCATAGTGAATTGTTGGAAGTTTAGATTTCATTGAGGAAATCTTTTTTTTTTTTTTTTTTTTTTTTTTTTTTTTTTTTGCAGGTGGTGTTGCTCTTGAGAAAGAATACAAAGAGCCTTGGGTAGGTTCAAAGAAGACATCATTAATCAATTTCCCATGTATCCTCCCTCACTCCTAATTTTTCCCGGTTTTTTTTTTTTTTTTTAATTAATGTTTCAGGATTATTATACCTATTATCCTACAACTCTTCCCTTGAGAAGGCCATATTCTGGAAATCCAGGTAAATTCTTGATATACTTCAGAACCGGATGGCTATTTCGATTGATGTTTAGAACTGATATAATCTATAGGGGCAGTGCGTTTGTCATATCTTGTGATGTAGTGTACTTTTTGGGTTCGATAATAAATTTCGTTCTACTTGTATAGAGGTTCTTGATGAGAGGGAATTCGGGGAGGCTTCAGAGAGTTATGAATATGATGAAGATGCAATAAATCCAGCTGAAGAGCTCGGCCTATTTGTCAGTAAACCAATCACAATTCCGTTTGATTGTTTTCTCGGTTAGAATTTGTTTTAACTTTTGCATAACGTGAATGAACGGTAGGAGGAGGCTCCGGAGGAAAATCTGTTCTTCGTCCAACTACCAACGCTTATGCCTATGTTCAAGCAACCAGCAAACGCAGAAGGCAGCGAGACAGCCAGCAACAACCCGAGGGCGATGAGGGCTAGGGCCTGTAAATTTGATGATTTGCCCGGAGGCTATCTTGGGAAAATGGTGGTATACAAGAGTGGAGCTATCAAGATGAAACTAGGCGAAACGCTTTATGATGTAAGTTCGGCCCCAATTGAAGCATGTGCTCCATCTCAACTAAAAGTCAAAGCTGTATAAGCTGATAGTTGGATTGCACATTTATGTTTATATATTATATGCTCAACCTTCTCGCATTGCATCAAAACTCTTATCTTTTATGAAAGGTAAAAACATTATGGAAAGAACCATAAAAAATCGCTGTTTATGTTTGAACACTATGAATTGCAGGTTTCTCCCGGTATGAATTGTGTGTTCTCTCAGGACGTCGTCGTGATGAACACAGAAGAGAAGAACTGCTGCAACGTCGGGGAAATTAGCAGACGCGCCGTTATAACTCCAGATGTCGAATCCCTCCTGGCAAGCATGCAGAATTGATGATAGGTTTTTTGTTATAAGTTTTTTTTTTTTTGGTCATACATATATGAATTGAATTGGTTGAATAGTTGTGTTACTAACCATAAGTTTACAAGTTTGATTCCTTATATAAGTTGTCTATTCCGGGATTGGTTTGGCCTTCTTGGCTGTTGTGCACCTTATTTTTGATTGTGTATTGGAAGCAGAATTTGTTACTTAAATACACCAAGTACTATAATATAAAGTTAAAAGGAAAAAAGTTTTTTAAAAAAGTACTATTTGACAATAATGTCTTATAAAATCTCTCAAAATAAGTGAAAAGAGATTTGGTGTTTTTTATTTCACGTTTTTAACATGTGGGCGGAGTTGGATGATATTGGAGGTGTGTGGAGTATAGAAGGAAAAGCAACACTACTGAAAAAGAAACCAATTATGTTCAACTGAAATTTGGAACCCCACAAGAAGTTAACGACAAAATGCCAACTGTCATGACAGGAACCACCACTCACAAACAAACCACAGACTACACAATGTTATATCAAGCCAATCAGAGCATCCTCAATAAGCAGTTTTAGTGGAATCTACACATTTGACAAAAACAAAAATCTTCTACAAAAACCTAAATACCTCTCTCTTCTACATAGAATTGTTTCTCAAAAACCACCCCAAAGTTTCTATTGGAGATACTCTTACCTTAAACTTGGGTATAAGAAAACATTTTAATCTCAATTACATGTTTCAAAGAGTCAAGATTTTGTATTCAATTAATCCGTTAGACATGTTAATATAATTTTCTTTTAAAAAAATAAAACTTTTTAGACTTTTTTTAATCTTAACACGTCGTAAACACTTGTATTGGGATCTACATGAAAATAATAACTTATTATAATCTGTCACATCAATAAAAATTTAAGAAGTAACATTAGGGAGTACATGAACTCCCACCATATTGTATATATTTTTCTAATAGAAGTATGAGAAATAATAACATGCAGCAGATGAACCAACAAAAAAACTAAACTTTATTCTTAGTCAGGAAAAAGACAACCTCAATTTGCCAATTCAAGTCTGCTTTGTGGGGAAATACATAAATATGACAAATTTACCCCTAGAGATTAACGGTGTGCAAAGCCGGAACGGCGTAATCCACCACCAGTACGCCGTCCAGAAACCGCCGCACCTTATCCTTCTGCTCATTCGCCGCCGCCGACTGCGACTCCAACGCCTCCAATTCTTTCGCCCCACCAAAAACCGCAATCGAAGCAATCGAAAACCCTTTCGCCCTCGCCGGAGAGAAGTTTTCCCCGACGCTCAGCTGATTAATCGAAGGAAACTTCTCTTTGATGCCCTTCGTCACCGTCAAGATTTCGTTCTTCTCATTTTCGCCCAAATTCTCCTTCAATTTCAGAAACGTGACTCGGAAGGCGGAGCCGGGCGGGACCTTGACCGGGCCGGAGAGCTCATCGGAGACCCAATCGACGGCCATGATGTCGTCGCAGATGGGAAGGACGTTCGCCCTAACGACGCCCAGATGATCGGGGTGTGCAGAGTAGTCGGCGAGGTCGGACTTGGAGGCGTACCGGGAATGGAGCATGTGGGTGAAGGCGAAAGATGAAGATCTTGTTTGAACCACCGCGCCGGCGGTGAGGTGGAGCACCTGGGGCATGGAAGAGAGGCCGTTAAGGTTCCCCACCATCTCATTGATCTTCAGAGGCTCCACATCCGGCTTCACCTTGAAGAGCACCACGTGCTCGACGATTTGCCCAGCCGACATTTTGATAGCTGAGGCAGAGAAGCGGCGGCGGAAGGTGGCTGTTGAGGCCGTGGCGGCGCCACCGGCGGGAGAGTGCGAGTGTGAGTGTGAGGTTGGAGCTAAAATGTGTCGCCCAGCCGCAACAGCTCTCATTGAAATCATTTTGCTTTCGCGTATTCCAAACACCGATTCACTCTCGGCGGAGGGTTTTATTCCGGCGAGAACACTTATTGGGCCATTATACGATTTGGGCCTTATTGAATTGTATAAATTATTATTATTATTATTATTTATTATTTATGAGTTATGCTAGATTAATGGTAAATTCTTAGAATCTTAACACAAAAATTGTTAGAGCAACTTTAGATGGCTTGAATACAATAGACTAAGAGAGAACAAACAGCAGATTTATGCATTGAATAGACTCTTCGCCGGAACGGCGTAATCCACGACCAACACGTCGTCGACGAAATTCTTCACGCCGTCTTTCTGATCATTCAGCGCCTCCGGTTGCGCTTCCAACTCCTTCACAGCATCCAATCCCCCAAATACTCCGATTGAAGCGATCGAAAACCCCTTCGTCCTCGCCTGAGAAATATTTTCCCCAACTGTCAATTGATCAATCGACGAGAATTTTCCTTTAAGCGTTTTAATTGCATTAACTGCTTCGTTTTTCTCCTTTTCGCTCAAATTCTCCTTCAATTTCAAAAACTTAGCTCTTATGATGGAGCCGGGCGCAACCTCAACGGAGCCGTGGAAGTCATCGGAAACCCAGTCGACCACCATGATGTCGTCGATGATGGGGAGGAGGAAAGTTCTGGCGGCGGACAAGTGGAGAGGATGCGCATTGTACTCGTCGAGATCGGACGTGGAGGCGTACCGCGCGTGTAGGAGATGAGTGAACGCCAGAGACGGCGATTCAGTACGGAGGACCGGACCGGTGGTGAGGTGGCGAACTTGAGGGAGAGAAGCGAGGCCGGAGAGGTTGTTGACCATGTCCTTGACCTTGGAATGCTCTGCGTCCGGCTTGACTCTAACGAGCACCACATGTTCGACGATTTGCTTAGCCGACATCTTGACAGAAGCAGGGGAGGATCGCCGGCGTGAGACGGCGGCGGTGGGAGAAGGAGAAGAAATTGGGTGCGCGCATAAGAACTGTGAGCGCGCTACAATTGGCTTAGCGCAAATCATTTTCGTTCTCGGTGAAGAGGAGAAATGGACTCTGCGCCGGGATTTATATGCCTCCGTCCGCCGTGGCCGGTGAATCGTCTCCGCCAACGGGACAAAATTGTACCGACTTTTCGTATCCCGACATTGACAAGACAGTCGGACACGCGGACATATTTTTCTTTCTATTTTGTAAATGAGTTCTATTATATGATTCTCAAATTCTACTCTCTTATTTCTACTTTCTAGGTGGCAAACCAGGATTGGTTGTTTTCATCATATAGGTCCACATAAAAGTGTCTACATCAAAGTGTCTACATCAATAACATATGAGAGGGAGCACAAATTGAGAATATAAAATGGGAGTACACCAAATATTTTCCTTTGTAAATCTCTCTTTGACCCCTTTCTATTTATCAATAAATTTTTTTTACCAAATACCTTGTAGTCGAATGACATAATTATTATCCTTCCAAATGAGAGATTACAGATTCATGCTTTAATAAATTGAGAAAGTGTATTATGTATTTTTAATCCCTAATATGTTAGACCAAGGCCCGCAATGACTTAATTTGAATGGGAGTAACGATCTATGGTAAAAGATTAGTTGAACGTTTGAATCTCATGCTTAGAAGTACAAAGAAATGACATATAGGTAGTGATAACCTAAAAGATAATTAGCATCCATAAATTTTTTGTCGATGCTAGTTTCTGTGGTATGGAACTAGGGAGCATTTAATGACAATGCTAGTTTAATTCCAATCAGATATGCACCTTCACTCAACAATTCTCTCAAATACGTGTTATGAATTGGGTTATTTTTATAACTTTCTCATGATAATAGATTGGGCCTATTGAGTTGATATGGTAGCCTATATTCTATGACTAACTTTTAATATTCATTTGGTCATTTAAACCATTTATTTCTTCAAACTTTGCGAATAGCAAAGTAAGCACTAACTAGTAAAGTTTTTTTTTTTTTTTTTTTTTTTTTTTTTGGGTGCAAAGAGGGGCCTGGGCCCGGGTGGCCCTAGAAAGTTAATAGATTCTTCTAATAGAAATGTCGTGAGCATCTCTCTTCAAAATGTCTTCAAGTTCTTCAGGAATTATACAAAACTGTCGTTCTCCAACTACATCCTTGTCCCAGATTGACAAGATAGTCTGCACATTGTTTTCTTCTCTAAACACATGGTTGATCTCACAGTCCCGAATACTAATCACCTTATTATTAAACATATGATTATATGTCATAAATAAAGGACATATGTATTATGTCATATAAACGTGACATAATTGTGTTTAATTAGTACAAATAACAATATAGTGCCATTCTCTAGACACCTAATCATCACCATGCATGCATTTACTATAATTATCAGCAAATCACCATTATGTGTCTCATTTTCATTGTTTTTCAATTTTCATTTTCTTTTTTGAGAATCATTTGTTTTTCATTTTCTAATTCCTTAAATTATGCGGAGTAATAAGTTTATGTTAAATAACAATTGCATATAGCATTATATGGAGAAAGTTCACCAGTGTACTGAGTGTGTGAAGCACAATTCATAAATTTAATTATTGTCAATATCTTCTCTATCCAGCTTGTCACATAAGGTTTTCATAGTGCACTTTGCATCTCTTGTGTGATTTGTGAACTGTTACACAATAGTAGAGTTTATCTAATGCACACACTCTCAAATAGTGACGGTAGGTTTCTCTCTTCACACACAAAAAAAATCAAATTATGATTAACATCCTCAAAGGGACCAATTATTTGAGAACTGAGATGAATAATACTCTAGCATTATAGAAATACCTTTTTGTCATAATTTGTAATTAGCATTGCCTTCAATCTTTTGAGGCTCACCATTAGTAGGTGAGCTTGAACCCAACGGCCCATATACATATTAGTTCAACTCACAATTTTAAAAATTGGTTGCACTGATCCAAATCAACCATTTGAAGATAGGTACTGCTTCAATTTTGTTGGTTGCGGCCCATGAAGGACACAATAGACAACGTGGCACTTTCCACCTAAGAATATTTTATTTATGAATAATAACGGTCAAATAGACCACTCAACTTCACATCAAACTGTAATTAAATCATCGAACTTAAAAAAAATGTAATTGGGTACTTGAACAATACACACTCATGCAATTTAACTTAAAATAATATGCTTATCTGATATGAAAATATGTTGAAGTGGCGATTATCGAAATTAAAAAT